TTTTTAATCATTATTTTCAACAAATACATTTTCATTTTAATTTTTTTACTTATATATATTATCCATTATTCATTGTAACATTAGTTTAATGTACTATAGAGCATGTCTCTCGAACGAAAACTCTTAAAGTAGCAATGGTATTGAACAATTTTATGTTGAGTTAGAGAAAACTATACTACAAGTTCTAACCATGTTAAGAAAAATAAGGGACGATATTGATGGTGATGTGAACTTCAACAAGAAACAAGAGACAATTAAATTATATTTTATTAAGCCTTCATCGATCTATAAAATATTTATTGTACTAAGTAATTTAAGAATTATTTTTAGGCATTATTAATTTATATATTATATGGGGCCTTCTTAAAATTTTTGAATGTTTATAATCTTATAAATTTATTAAATTATTCATTTAGCACGTTGTCCACGAGTCGGGACTGGGGATGCAATATTATTTAATCAAAGTTATTAGTTTATCTGGATATTAATTTCTCGAGATTCTACTGTATATAACACCTACATTAGTCGTTTCTTTTAAAGACGCAAATTGAATTTTGTATACTCTTTTTTTTTTGTTTTTGATAATTTTTGTATACTCTTTTAAGTATGCTGAAAGAGTGTGTTGGAAAACACATACAGGCAATGACACGTTTGGATGTAAATATGCAAGTAGAACTAAAACTTACACTTTCAGAACAGAGGTAGTTTTTAGTAGCACTTATGAGAACATTCTCATTGAGGACCACTAGTAACCTGGTAAATTAAAGCAATATCCCTCTTGAAATTCAGTTATTTAAATATGCAAACCAAACACTACCTAAGATGTGTATATAAAATAAAATCGTGCCAAGTAGGATGAAGGGGGACCTTCATTCATTAACATTAATATAAAGCGCGTTTTGGGTTGTTGGTATTTTCATTAAAATAATTAATTCTTCATTCTTCCAGCCTATGTGATTTGAATTACTGCGGGACCTTCCTCGTCACTCGCGCGTCACCCCATAGTTTTCTAATGGGAGAAATACCGTTTCCATCCCTCAAGTTTGTATCGATTACACATTTAGTCCCTCGTATTCAGAAAAACCACATTTGGTCCCTCGTGTTTTAAAAATTCAATAGTTTTCGCCATTTTCGTTAACTTTCCGTTAATAGTAACGGAATCAAGTGTGTGACTATCATTGCATGAACTGACGAACTAACAGTAAATTGATGGAAATGACCAAAAATATTAAGTTATTGTAACATAAGGGACCGAATATGTTTTTTTGTTAATATGGGGACCAATTATGAAATCAGTGCAAACTTAAGGGATGAAAACTGTAATTACCCCATTTTTAATATGAAATTATTGCAAAAATATGGTTTTTCCTTATTAATATATATTCCACTAATGTTATCGAAACTCATACAAAATTTGCGGAGAAAAAACTCTTATTTTCTTATTAGGCTTAATGGTCCAGATTTGTATCAATCAACCACGATAATCACGATAATCTAGAAATTAGTCTCGTACGATCATTTCGAATATGACTCATAAGTTTATTTGCCTCACACTTAATACAACTCCAATTTTATGACGATTCTAGTGTGTCGAGTTAATCCGTTGTTCATTAAACATACTTGAGCGGGGGCAACGAGACTCCAATTGTATGGACAATGTTATCGGGTCTGAACTCTCAATGCATTCATTTCTTACGAACAATCGAACGGCATAACTATTTATGTTTATTGAAGAAATTTTAAAGACACTTTTTTGCATATAAAATAATCTTAATCCGGTTACTATTTTTC